TTTGTATTGACGAGATTGTTGTAGGGATACTAGTTAAAAAGGTAAGAATGAGTGTAGGTTTGTTTGCATCAAACCAGAAAATCATTTTTTCATAGTGGAAAGTAATAATTATTTTCAAAACCAGTTCAACAGCCCTTGACCAAAAAAGAGCAGAGAGGAAAACACGAGATGAAGAAGATAGCGGCGAAGTTGATGAAGATGAAGATTCCATTCTAGCAACAAGAGAAGCAGAGAAGCAGCAAGGAGTGGCAGAAGAGAGTTCGGGTGACGAAGATGAAGATGAGGTACGACACGTTCATTGTATCCTTGAGGATTATTAGTCTATAGAGCCAATGGTCATGGAGCTCTACATTCTATTTGTCAAGCATCATATTCTTTTTTTCTGTTTCAGCCTGAGGTGGGTGCAGATGATGGCACATTGGCCTCTCGTAACACAAAAGCAAAAGAGCAAGACTACTCAGAAGACGAGGGGGAGGAGGGAAGCAGAGAGCAATCAGAGGATGAAGCAGAACCTGACAAAGAAGAAGTGACAGAGGTTAGGGCAAAAGTTTTTTTTTTTTTTTTTTTTTTTTCTTCTTTCTTTTCACATGCTATGGCCATTAAGATTACTGATATTTAATAAGAATATAGTACCAAGATTATACATGTAACATATAGTTCTAAACACATGAATGGGAAGTACCATACAAGCCCAGATACACACATGGTAGGCCCCTTCTGGCTAATAAGTAACTATTAGAATGAGGTAACGGCAATGTAGGTTAGGGCAGCGAGGTGATAGTCAGGGATTTATCAAAAGTGGCAAACACAGAGATGGGGAGGAGGAGGAGAGTGGTAATAGTTACCAAATCAGCATTACCTTCTTAAATTAAATCATATTTGCTTTATGTGGACTTGTGGGGAATAGAAAAGGGGGATTAGGAGATAGCTATAATAGTAAGATTGATGTTGGATAATTCATGGAAATTCAAACAGAATTACGCATGGATTGTTTCCAGAAATTGTTACCGTTGAGAAAGGTAGAGTGGTAGGCATGTAAGTTTAGGTGTGGATGTGTAAGAATATAAATCAGTATCATTTACTTATAGATCATATTGATATTACAACTGTCATCATTCTATGGGTTTGCACCCCGGTATTGCCAAGTCCTCCAACTATTACCCTTTTCCAAGTTAGTTGATACAGATAGTTTACCTGTCAGCCAGAAAGGACCTGCCATGTACATACCAGATTGTATTTCATGTTCACATGCCTGTAAAAGCTGATCATCATGCTTCTGTTTATGGTCATCATTTGCAGTAATTGTTGGAAAATATGTATTATGCACCACCATTTGATTACTCAAGTTTCTGAGTTTGTATGATTCTCTGATTTAGTATACTTTTTTGCCATGGTTATTTCTGCATCCAATTAGCAGAACTCCATCCATAAATAATATTACTCTCAGTAACTAATTTGGAAATTTTCTTTCATTACTAAGGCCAAATGTAGGGTGAGTTAAATCTGTCGAGTTGTTTATTGTTTATTTTCTATGGTTGTTTGTAACACTATAATGAAAGGCCTCTTGTCTAATATGTCTAATGAGAGTGAGGGTAAGAATAAGAGTGTAAGTGGTATTAATGCATGTGTATGCTTATGAATATATTCTTTAATAGATTCTGTATTACACCACACCAGCAGCAATACTCATTTACCCAAGAAACAAAGGTCTAAGCTTTATTTTGGGTTGACTGCAACTTGTAGCTTTAGTTGTAGGAACTTTGTTTTTCAACAATATTGTGCACTTCAGAGTATTGCCAGATTTCTTAAGTGTGCAGATCTGAGGTTAAATCACTCTTGTGCATACATATATTTCCGTCTCATTTTCTCCCTTTTATGTTAGCCAAAAAAAAAAAAAAAAAAAAAATGAAAATCAGAGCCATTTGATGACACTGAAATATATTTTACTTCTCATGTCCCAAGAGCTGTGACGTAGGTATGAAGACCACAAATATACAGTCTATATGATCCTTTCACATCCTAATCTTCAGCCGGCTTACACACTGCTTGTGTTTTCTCTTGTATAGTTCGTAAATATTGGAAGTGGTGTTTCAAATTTCCGTTGAAAAATCAGAACAAGTTTATTAAGCATTATTTTTCTTTGAAGTTCCCAAGATATTAAAAATTAGAAGATACTAAGCAAGTGGAAAAAAAGTAAATAAGAAGTAAATGAATAAATAGATGAATAAATATATATATAAATAGATTAATAAGTATTTAAGATAAATGTAAAGAACTTAACAGCCAGTCAACTGACCATGATTACATGTAATGTTTTATTGATGTGTAACATACCAGGAGGACCTAAGGCCAGTGGATGTCAAAACTCCCAAGAAGAAAAAGGGTACTGCCATTAGTGAATCTACAGTACGGTTTAGGAAGAGCATTGTTGCAGATGCAGATGCATGGATAGTCGACTACAGCTTTGACACAGAAGAGGAACTGTGGTGTGAGGTGAGTGGGGAGGATGCAAGATTTGTTCAGGTTTTAGAAAATTTTGATTATTTGCAATTATATGATTATTTTCCAAGGAAAGGTAATGAAAAGGGAATGTAAGTTTGTGTGAACCAGTTGAGTGGTTTAGGATCATGTATTACTACAGCTATGAATGTCCTATTATAAAAAGTTTTTTTTTTTTTTTTTAGTCATATTTTCTTGTATTCCTTATTATCCCTTTGACTCCAGCCAAGGATTTTGTATTCTCTTCTCTGTATGCATCTTGGGTAACACAGAATAATGGTTGAGATTCATTGTTTGACTGTAAAGATGCTTACAAAGGCAATTGCAAATGAAAAATGTAGCTTTATGTACAAACTGTTTTTAAAATAATTGACTTTTGTTTTATGTAGAAGCTGGTTTATGCAGCAAATGTAGAAAAAGTATGAATGAGAATTAATATCTTCACAGTACAAGGTAATCATCATGTGTTCATCTTTGGTTGAAAAAAAAAAGAAATATATTTTATGCAGTTATAGGGTTAGGATATAGCTATACATTAAGTAGTCCGAGTTGGATAATCTTTTCACCATCTCATTAATTTATACTTTTTCTTGGTTAATTAGTTCGGGGGAGGTTGACTTTGCAGAGAAACATTGTAATTAGGACCTATTTTTCAGGTTACCCTACTTTTGCCCCTGGCTGGTGGAAACTACGACATCCCATCGATTGTGCGGCAAAAGTCTCAACGCTGCCTTATTCACAGTGTTCCTGGGATTAAGCGTGTTTTTGTTGTGGAGAAGGATGATGGATTATTGCTGAGAACTGAGGGAGTTAATGTATTTGTAAGTATTTTCAGAGGAGGAATGAAACTCATCTCTGCCCATTCCCACATTCCCACAAAGATATCTTTCCTCTTATCTGTTGATTGTAATAAAAGACTGAAACAATAAGAATTAATTTTAGTATAGTGAAGTTGGCTCTTCAGTTTTCAAGAATATGTGAGTGTGCAGTTTAATAAAAAAAAAATTACAGGCATGTAATTTTTAAATTTTATTTATTTATTACTTTTTTTCTTTTCCAGAAAATGTTTGAATACGAGCATCTCTTGGATGTGAATCGTCTGTATACCAACAACATTCACCAAGTGGCTGAGATGTATGGAATAGAAGCTGCACAGCGTTCAATCATTAGGGAATTACGTGCTGTACAATCTGCTTATGACATCAAGGTTTGTGATACTTGAGTATTTGCATGTATGTATGTTACTAAGTAATACGTACAAGTTAGGAAGAGTTCAAGTGTGTGAATATTTTTACCAGATTTCCTAGCTTGTAGTTCTGTAAAGCATTTCTTAAAAGTAAATTTATATATATAAGAGTATTGAAAGAATGTTTGAGCTGGAACACCTTCAGCAGACCTTTAAGTAATGATTTCAGAATTTATTTGATGGTTTTAAGAACTCATAACATAACAATTGACATTTCATTATTTCTGGATGTTATAAATCATCCTTTTTTTTCTTTCTTTCTTTTTTTTCCCCCCAAGAATGAAAATTTCTGAGTAGAGAATTATAAATTACTAATTCCTATTTCTTCATTCTGTGCAACTGTTCATGTTGACAGTATATATAAAACATTCAAGAATAGAAATGATTATGAAACAAATTTTTCAGGTTGACTTCCGCCACTTAACTCTTCTGGCTGATTACTTTACCTGTGAAGGGGTTTACAAGGCCTGTTCCCGCCAGGCTCTGGCTACTTGCGTTTCTCCACTGCAGAAGATGTCTTATGAGACTTGTACAGCATTTCTGAAATCAGCACTATTACAAGGCAAGTCACTGTGTAAACTTTTAATGTAGATAGCAAGCTCTAACTACTTGCCGCTGGGATGGCATGTGCGTACAATGCCCTGTCCACTGTGTTTTTAATTTAGTAATTGTTTTTACATAAGGCTCCACAAGTACTAAATCACCGATGAGTTAGTACTTGTTTACCCCTTTTCCTTGATTTTCATTAATATTTTCTATTTAATACTGCTGTTAGTAATGTCAATGTCAATTATAAGGTTTTCTAACTGAAAAGGATATTATAAAGGGTTTATCGATATTTAACCATCTTTTTATCTATTTTTCAGGAGAGAAAGACAGAATGCTTTCGCCATCGGCAAACATTGCTGTTGGCCAACCAGTAAAAGTAGGCACAAATGTTATGCATGTTCTGCCTCTCATTAAGTTATGAAAATTGTCTTGTTTGTAATTGGCCTAACAGAAATTATTGAAAATGTTTGTTAAAATATATATATTTATGTATGCTCAGTATGTATTCCTCATTATTTGGAGGGATTTGAATGGAATACTATCATTAATATGATGAAAAAAAACTAATGTCGTCCATAAAATTATGGTATCAAAGCAAATTTGCAATTATTTATTATTTGCATATTTCTGGAGATCAATCCAACAGATTTTCAATGATAGCAGATTGTATTTTTTCCCCTAATAAAAGTATGAAATACTAATCATATTTTATTTGTAGATGCTTTAATGGGCATTATATACATTTCTTTTTAATAAATGATACACATACATCTATATCACAAAACTAATAATAACATTCATAGCACAGGGATCAAGATAATAAAGAATTATTTGACATTCTACAGTGGTCCACTATTTTTAAATGAACCTGCTTGATAGCTGAAATGTGTTTTCTACTGGTTGCTACAAGGTATTATCTACCTCAACAACCCAACTATTATATAGTTTTAAAATACAGACAAGTACTTCACTTAATATTGGCCATCATAATTCTCTAACGAGCCTGCAGTGATATACAAGGCAATTGCTTGCACACAAAATATAAGAAAAATTGATGCCATTGCTAAGGCTAATTATCAGATGGCACCATTTGTATGATAAGTGACATATCAATCAATTCACAGTGCAAGCAGAATCTCTGCACAGCAAGACTAGCAGTGACTTCTCTTCTCTCTCTCCCTCCCTCTTTCTCATGCAACAGTTATAAATTCCTTAATTACTTCTACATAATTTAGGTTCTACAACTGCACAGGTCTACAAAGAAATACACAGTGCATTAGATGCCTTTTTTTTTTTGCATTTATCTGATACGAAGTGCTTCAAAACTGAAATATACTTATATATATATATATATATATATATATATATATATATATATATATATATATATATATATATATATATATGAAATGAAATGTTTGATGAACAGAAGGAAGTGAATCTGAACGTATTAAAGTGCCAGGTACTGGGTGCCGGTGAACAGTTCGAGGTAGTCGGGTTTCCTAGGATTCGATTGCCCGCACGGACGAGTCAGGAGCTCTCCGCCTGAGGTTGTTATGGCTTCCTTCTTGTGGTACTCGATGAGATCGCCTGCAGGGGAAAATTATATTGGTATTAATGCTGTTAGAAGGGAAGTTGTACACAGTTTAAGTTAGAGATGTAATTGACACTTATATTAAACATTCTATTTTAAAAAAGTAAGTTTATGATAAAAGCGGTACTCCTCTTATTCTACTCTTTCAATAAAGCTATGTATGAAATCGAAAGCTTTCCCCACACATGCCTCAGTGATGGCGCTGAGATGCCACCTACCAAGGGTATCGTGGGATGCTTGGTGCGAGCCGAAGAACGTGTACTTTCCACCAGTCACATCAATCAGGTAATGGCGGCACCTATCGGCGGCGCGGTAGGAAATGGCATACCCCCATATCCGTTCACTTACTCGTACCAGGAAACGACCTACTTCAGATCCTGCTAGCACTTCCTCTGCTTCTATTCTGCTTATGATACCTAGAACATGACACCATTCTCATTAAATACAAGAAGGATAGCATACTAGGACATCAGAAAACATAAATAAGGTTTATACAGCTAGAAAAAGACAACGAAAAAATGCGTCTGAACTGATGGTTATCAAGATGATCAACAACGAACCTCAGTTACAAGTACAGACTACAAGGGCTGCCTCCTACCATGGAACCAGGGAGCGACGCGAGTGCGCGAGGGCTCCAGGCCGGCTCCCCGGGGCAGCTCCTCCTCGCGGAACCAAGCGACGATGGCGCCGCGGGACGGGGGCTTCGGGGGCCGGATCCTCTGACGGACGCAGCCGCCGAACGGACTGCCCTTGCTCACTGCTGTGTTGCTGCTGCTGCTGCCGATGCTCTTGTTATGATTGTTGTTGTTACTAACGCTGTTGAAATGGGGAGGAATACGCTAGAATCGTTTTTCAACAATTTTTTGGGTGTAATTGTATACACTTATAATGGAATGATAAAAAAAAAACTCATATAAAAACTCACTCTTCTTGAATCGCCCTGATATTTCCATTAATATCTCCGCCGACACTGGAGTGATGGCCGTTCACGCCGTTCATGCCGTTCTTGATGAGGGTGTTCTTAACGACGGTGTTGTGCGTGAGGCCGTTCAGGTTGCGATTGATGGCGTGTGCTGGTGACGAGTGCGTTGACGCCCGTCGGTGCTCTTCGCGGGCGCGGCGAGCGATTTCGCGGATGCGTCTCTCCGCTTCCTTGGCCTTGCGCTCTGTGGGAAGCGACGTCGTTGGATGGTTGGCTTGTGATATTCTTTAAAGCTTAATGTATGATTGATTGAATATGTGTATCCCAACTTGCGTTAGGAGGTTAACAATACAAGAAAGTCTGGTTAGGAAAACTATCACATTCGATATCTTCAGTACAAAAAAAAAAAAAAAAAAAACCTGTATACTAAAATGATTGTCAACAACTAAGTAAAACCTGAATATCTCAGTGTTTGGTGGCGACCGACTAAATGCCAGCAAAAATACTGGGAGCACCCACCTTGCTCTTGCCAGGCGCTGTCGTCTTTCTCGTTGGTCTGCTTGTTGGCAGTGTCTGCTACCTGCTGGCGGGCGGCCTCTACCTGGCTCCGCAAATGCTCCAGAATTTCTTTCTGCCTCCGCTTCTTCGCTCGCTCCAGCGTGGCCGTCTTCAAGGCCTCCAGGGAGCCCTCGGAAAGTTGTTCGAAACGTTTGATCTGCGCTGCTACGCCCACCTGCAGGAGAACGTGTTGCAACGAGAATTAAAACAAGAACACAATCAATAGTAATTATGATAGCAAATTAATGCAATGGATAATGAATAATAATGAAACATAACAAATACTGGAAAATATCGCGTACCGTCATGGCTGCTTCCGCGTCGCCGTCTTTCACTCGGTCGCAAAGGTCGTCCTGCTCCACGATGGTAAGGGGGCACAGGGGTGGAGGGGAGGAGGAGGGGGGCGGCGACGGCGTGAGAGACGATGATAGGCTTGATGTAGTAGACGAAAGGGACGATGGCGGGGAGGGCGTGTGGCTCCCGCTGTTTGTCGTGGGTGTGGTGGGGACGGAGAAGGACTGGGTGGAGGACGAGGGGGCGGAGGACGACGTGTGGGAAATCCTGGAGGGGAAGCTGAGGGTGCTGGCCAGGCTGGGCTTCGGGAGAGATGGGCGGGGGAGGTCGGAGCGAGGGGCGCCTTGGCAGGGGCGGCGGCCGACGTCTCCCACGGCATTCCGTTCAGTTTTCGGGGGGATGAACTGTAGCCGGCGCCGTAGGGAGAGATGCTGAAGGCGGGCGGCGACGGAGGCGAGGCGGACGAGGAGGTGGACGACAGGGACGAGAGGGAGGAAGAGGAGGCCGACGAGGAGAGCTTCAAGCTGCCGATTCCCGAAGACGTGGTCGAGGCTGGGGAAGGAGGCGAAGAGGAGCCAGAGGACGAAGACGAGGAGATAGAAGATGTGGATGTTTTCTTCGAAGCCGGGACATCCGTCTCCTCCATGGCCTGGATGTGCTTCTCCATCTCCACTGTGGCCTCCTGAAGGGACCTCACCACGGCCTCTCGCGCGGGGTCACGCTCCTGAAGGGAAGGCAAAATCGGAGTTTTAGTCTACTGAATCCGGCATTTTTCCCCCCATTCCTATTCGATGAATGCGAAAATAGAAGACTTCACTGATCTGCAGTCAAAACCTAGCTTCTTATGACATCAACCACCCCTGGAAGCCCATTCATATAGCTTTGCGCAAACAGAAAAACACGCACAAACATACACACAAATATATGTATAAGCGCGAATATTATTATTCAACGCCGGGACACGTTTACGACTCTCCCAATTCCAAGTCGAGTTTCCATAAAAGTGCCTTAACGAGTGCAGTTGCCCAAGCATAAAAGCTGCCCACGTTTTAAAAGAGCGCTAAACAGATGTCACTCCATCCAGATCAAGGGCTTATTTCAACATGAATAAATTTCTTCCAGTGAGATCTGCAACTCCCCAGATTACTGGTTTCTAGTCCTACCTTATTCTGCTGGTTCCTCGCGGCCTCCTCCTCCATGGCCTGCACTGTCGACCTGCTCAGCCTCACCAGTTTGTCCAGCTCTTCCTCTGCCGCGCGTCTGCAAAGAGGAGGAAGAGGAAACGTCAGTCGTTTGCACCGTCGTTAAAGGGATGAAGAAAAGGGCACAAAGAGAGACGGAGATAATGGTACGAAGAGAGACGGAGAAAATTTTACGAAGAGAGACGGAGAAAATGGTACGAAGAGAGACCGAGGAAATGATACGAAGAGAGACGGAGAAGATAGAATGAAGAAAGACGGAGAAAATGATACGACGTGAGACGGAGAAAATTTCAAGACGAAGAGGGAACGAAGAACAAGCCAAAGGAGCCCGAGACGCGACCCAGGAGCGCAAATCAGTACGACGCCGCTCGATCCGGAGAAGAATGCGAAGATCCGAGGAAAAATAGAACGGAAACCTTATAAAAATTCAGCGGACGCCATAAAACAGGTTGTCGTGCCCAGACATGGCAATGAGCTTCTCCCCCAACCCCTTCCCTTGCCCCTCCCCTTGTAGCCTCCCCCCCCTAGACTTAGGGAGAAACTTACGACCAATTCTTCAGAAGCTTCTGGGATCGCAACGATGAAGCAAGGATGAGCGGAGTGTAATAAAACGCCCTAATGGCCTCCTCAATCAAGGGAATGAGAGAGGTTAAATAAGACCAGAAAAGGGGAAATGGGAGAATAAGAAAAACATAATGGCGAAGCAAATTCGTTAAATTGAAGAACAACAGAAATAATGGGAATAAGAGTAAGAGAATAAGAAAAAAAACTAAAGAAAATCGTGTTGAAGAAAAATAGAAAAGGGGGGATAAAATCAAGAGAAGAAAAAAGCGGAGGGAACGAGGACCAGGAGATGAGCTTGCTAAGGACGACCTCCGAAGAGGGCCCTCTCCTGAAGGACCTCTGCATCCCGTCCAGCGTCAGAGTCCACGTTGGGGATTATCTGTTCCTCCTTATTACGATCGGTTTTACGAGCGCCGGGCACCGAGGTATGCTTCATTCGGCGCCACGGGAGCCAGGGGGGACGGGGGGCGCGCAGCCCTTATGCGGAATGCCAGGCGATGTTGCCTTGGCTGGAAGCGCCACCCGGGTTCTGACCGAAGGGATAAGACCGGTCGAGAACGCCTTATGCCTTATACGCTCTCTTATCGAACCGCACATCACCCGCTGGTTCATTCATTCATCCGCAGATTCCTACACCCACACACGTGTACGCCTGTTTTCACCACCACACCCTACCCACCACCAACGATACTGCCACCTCCTCCGCCATCGAAACAGCTTCAAAGTCAGAAGAATTGTGAAAGGCGGCGACACGGGCGTGTGTTCGCGTCGCGCTTGAACAGGTGGCCCCGATGCCTTCCCTCCCCCTCCCTCCCGCGCCATCCTTAACGGGGACTGGAGGGGGGGGGGGGCAAGGACGGCCGACAGCCTTCCCTCGGCCGCTCATTCGCGATGAAAGAATTAATGTATTTAACTAGTAAAATGCTGGCAGTAATACCGACAACGCTATAATATTAAATATTGTTCTTAAAGATCCAAATAATGATAATTTAGGTAATGAATAACAAAAAAAAAAAGTTAAAATTAACAAATTCAATCTAATGTTCCCGATGACCAAGATATATAAGCCAGTGTGCTACTACCATGTTTACACCAATATGCCCATCAGAACGAAACAAAAGATCGCTGTGTCTCCCCATTCCCCACGCCGCGCGCAGGCGAATGTGCCTTCCCTCCCCCCTCGTTCTCATTACTCGGCGCATTTAAATCCCTAATCACAGGGCGGGGGTGATTGCCTCCCTTCCTCGCCCTCATCATCTTAATTACCTTCAACGAGTCTATCCCCGATCGCCATACCACACTATTATCCCCCCCCCCACCCCTGCCCTCCCTCCCCTTTTCCTTGCCCTTGTACCCTGCCTCTACCTCTGCTCCTGCCCTTCCCCTGCCCTTGCCCTTGTAACCTTCCCCTTCCCATGCCTAAGCCCTACCCCTGCCCGTCACCCACGCAAGAGTGAGGTCCCACGAGAGGAAATGCTCGTCTCCCCAACATGAATGATGACGTCACGCCCACTCACATTCACTCACTGCGGTTACACGCGACTGAGGAAAGGTCGGTGCGCTTCGCTGTCCGCCCGACGCCCGTGCCTTCGGATTCTATCGTTTTGTGTTCATCTCGGAAAAGTCGAAGTCACACCTGAACGCTGAACAAATATCCAGTAGCGCTCATAAAATTTAACAGCCCTTCCCTCTCCCTCTCTCTCAGCCTTCCAACCTCTTCATCCCGCCCCCTCCCTCCACTCTCCTCCCCCTTCCCCACCCTCTCTCCAACCCCTAAAGAAAATCCCACTTTCGGACGTCCCGGGGGTTGACGTCATGTTGTCAACCAAGTTATGACGCGGACTTTTTTCCTCCCTTTGTTTCGCGCTCCGCCTCTGGCCTCGCGTTTCCCACAGCACTAAGCTCGCCGCCGCTAACCAGAATCACCTTTTTAAACACTTGTCCGTTCTATAAATGGAAAAAAACACGTCACTACGTTTCAGTGTGACATTTCTTCGCGTGTTCTCTCGCTGTTTTTTCTCTGTCAAGTTTTTTTAATGATCATTACTTTTTCGATGGGAGATGATGGCAAGAATAGAGAGCCGGATGGGTAAACTATTAATGCTATCATTAATAATGCTTACACTAATGTAGATTTTACAATAATGATGATAAAGATCAATTTGCCAACAGTAAACCGATATAGAGGGAGACAAGTGGAGGATGTAGTAATCGCTACTGTTACTGCATGTTCTACCACTATAGTTACCTCCCAACCAATACATTAATTAATTCTGATGATGGCAGTGATAACTTAACATCAATGTTTTCGAAATTAAAATTTGAGCAACAGCAGGCAAAACCTCGAGCTCTTGCAGATTCCGTGACAGAAAAGAGTCCGTGAGATTCTACAAACTAGAATCCCCTGGCAATATAAAGGTCTATATAAGTACTTATATAGACCTTGATAAAGGACGCCAACCGAATGCAGTCCCCTCTCTTTTTCTTGTACATGAAATCCGCATCAAGAGTGAAAATCTCCAAACCCAGCATCCGGATGTGATCTGAAATCCGACGGAGCTTTCGCATCTACCGACCAAGGTCTATATAAGTACATAGTTAGACTGAGGAACGGTGCAACGGCGTCCGTCGACCGCATCCCCCGTGTGCATCAGGGCGCTTGGGTGAGGTGTGGGGGTAGGAGAGGAGATAGAGGATGGGGGTGGGAGAGGGGATAGGAGGATGGGGTGGGAGAGGGATAGGAGGATGGGGAGGGAGAGGGGATAGAGGATGGGGGTGGGAGAGGAGATAGAGGATGGGGGTGGGAGAGGGGTAGGAGGATGGGGGTGGGAGAGGGGATAGGAGGATGGGGGAGGGAGAGGGGATAGAGGATGGGGGTGGGAGAGGATAGAGGGGGGGTGGGAGAGGAGGAGGATGGGGGTGGGAGAGGGGATAGGAGGATGGGGGAGGGAGAGGGGGATAGAGGATGGGGGGGATAGGAGGATGGGGGGAGGGCAGGAGGATCCAGCGATCTCGCCGGTCGAAACATCGCATTACTAGAAGGAAGCAGAAATGTTGCCGGCAGGTGGCAGTCTACGGGCGAGGAGGGGGGGGGGGTCACGGGGCAAAGAGAGGCAAATTCTCCCATTTTAGGGACTCCCAAGTACCCGCAAGGCCCAAATAGGGAGCGCCTCTCTCCTCAGCCGGACCCACCTCCGCGCCTCTCCCTCTGGGGTTGTTCATAGCGGAGGGGGGGGGGGGGGATGCGACAATCACCTGATGACAAAAGAGGTAAAAAAACATATGGCGTCCGTCTAGATGAGCTTCCTCGACACAGCGAGAAAAAACTACGGCCCTTCCGGCGATGCCAATGGGAGGCGCTGACGACCAGCCCCTCTCCGGTGACCGCCCGTTCCCGCGCGCCCAATCGCTCTTTCGCTCCCCGCCCGAACTACGCCCTCGGCCCGCGTCAGGAAGCCCGCCAAGCAGCCCTGTTCACCCGCGGTCACGGAACACGAAGCCGACTGCAACTCCGATTCCCGAGGCCGATTCCCAGCAAGGCGGAGGGGAAGGGCCGAGCCGAGACGTGGTTCCGCGACCGGCCATTTCCGGAGGGACGCGACCTCGGCCTTTCGTCCTTGGCCTTCTGCCGCGGGCTCCGCCGGGGATCGCGCCCACGCTCTGGGTATAAGCCACCCACACCCAATCTCGATGCTCATCGCACTGTATGTCTAACATTATACTTTGCGTCAGTGGAAAGGCAAGCGGTCAGGCACGTTCCTAAACAAACAAATTCGTTGAAATACAATAAAAATTGATAATTAATAACCGAAATAAAAAAGATCAACGGAAACATAAAAGAGCCAACAAAATTTCTAAAAAAGGGGAAAAGCTTCCACAAGAAAGTTGCCTTCACCCAAGTGGAACCCGAGACTCTCAGTGCTCGAGTCGCGCCGCCGCGCTGCTGACGGCGACGCGGCGGCCAAGCGCGGGGAGTCAGTGGCGCCGCTCGGCTGTCAGATCCCCTTCTTCTACCGGGGAGACAAGAGGGGGAGGAGGAGGGAAAGGGGGTGGGAAGGAGGGAGAATGAGGGGGAAAGGGGGTGGACTGAGAATGAGAGAATGAGAGAGAAGGGAGGAAGGAAAAAATGAGAAGGGAGAGGTAAAAGAAGAAATGGAGGGTTTGGTGCTATGCGCCGCGGATGCTCCCTACGCTTCTTGAAATCACAATCGAAGGAGAGAAAGAGGACAGGTAGTGCGGGCGGGGGAAGGGGGGTGGGGAAGGGGGGTGGGGCAGGCGAAAGGTGAAAGGTTAGAAATCATTGGGGGTAATGTGTCAGGAAGGAAGGGGGAGATAAAGAGGGGATAAGAAGAGCGGAAGAGGTAAAGCGGAAAGGAGGGAAATGAGGGAGGATAGGACGGTGGGAAGGGAGGGTAAAGGGGTGGGGAGAGAAAGAAGAGTTAGGAAGGGAGAGAGTGTGTGTGGGAGGGAGGGAGGGAGGGAGGGAGGGAGGGA